TTCCTCTCAAGTTTTAACGAGTAACTCTCTCAGTCGAATAGGTAGTTTAATGAGTAACTCTCTCATGTGGGTGGACCATAAATATGGTTGTGAGGGGAGAAGGATTCGAACCTTCGATCTTTGCTGACGTGAGACAGCAGAAAATTTTCCAGGCGCTCCACCACTGCGCCATCCCCCCGACTTAGTAAGCATAGTCGTTGTGTAATATCCAGGGATAGGGACATCCTAGACCTCTCACTCACATCTTCACGTAGTAAACCGCGTCTACGTCGTGTACTGCCTATTTAATCATGTTTTATTTAGGTGTCTATGACTTTTTAGACGGCACAATAAACTTTCCATCTTCTCCTAGTGAATGTAAGAACTTGTTCTTCATATTGCTACGCTCTGTCACGCTAATTTTCTAGATGAAGGAGTCAAGGAGACGCTTCTGTGAAAAACTATTAGCTCCTCAAAACTATTACGAAGGGTTTATACTGAAAGAATGTTTTATTGATTGAGCCAAGCGCCCTTAGCACTAACTTAAGTCAGACAGTCTAAGCTATAACTTACACACGCAGTGTCATGTAATCTCGAAAGAATCGTTGCACTAGCACCATGCTGAAATTGTTACAGGCTGCAAGTAGAATCAATTAAATCTATGAAAGATTCAAGTATCAAAGTACCCTAATCATCTATTATGAAAGCGAAAATTGTAACTTTCATATGGATTGGATACTACTAAAAGGATGAAGATTGTCTTTACTAGGCACTATATGTAGCATGCTTGATGCGCAACAGAATACTTCAAAATTCACTTTTAAGAAACATCTCGTAGAATTTCGATACTGGGACTATCGGCCTTTTATAGTAAACCTATACATTCATTTATATATGCATCATTCTAGAGTCACAGATACACATTGATAGGCAATGGAAAAATTGCAAGGGAACTCTGGAAGTCCTCGACTGTCTGAAAAATCTTTGATATATGCAGTCAATCAACTGAGTTGGAGAAATATTGCACTTTGGACCGCTAAAGTAAAACTGTTCTAGAAACTTTCGAAGCAACTATCTGATGTCACTTACTGTATCACAAATCTATCCCCTCGCAGAATCTATACAGACATTTAAAGGCTATCGTGTTTACTCCCAAGTCATACCCTACAACCCTAATTGAACATTACAGATATATAGCTAGCGGTCAAGGATATATATACAAGCATCAGGCACAGGAAAAAAAGTTAAAAGAGATATACAAGTGCTAGGCAAAGTATCCTACACGACTACGAAAGCTATAATAAATAGTAATGTCGCAATTGAGATTGCAGTCACGAACTCAAAACAGAGCTTCCTGATTTTGAGCCGCGGATGTATGCTGATATTTCCTCTGCTTTGGTTAAAGTATAATACATACTAGGATATAATATATAAAAGTAACTCAGAGTGATATTCTATACCAGGCATGCGGATGAGAAGGCCTATGCTCGTACCACTTCTGTATCTCGACAAAGTTTCCTTCAGATAAATTGTAACTGAATATCATAGGTAGTAGCACAAATCAAACTTAGAGCGAGTTCATTTGAACAGCTCAGCTTTAGATAAGGCAAAGAAAGTAATAACAGGAGTTTAAGATGCTGGTAGTAGGTGTGATAATGATCTTAGATACAAAATGATATATGCACATACAGAGTGTAGATGATCCAATAAGAAGATGCCCTATTTGAGATTTGCCATAGTTCTAAGACTAGATAGGTTTGATATTAGTACTTTAGTACTCTCTAGGAACTATGCGTTATAAGAAAACTACTGTCCAATTATTCCAGTTATGAAAGGTAGTGATGTAATATAATTTTACTAAGATGGTATAAAATAGCCTGGAAGGGAGCCGGGAGTAGTGTTGCCTAGTTGAAGCCAACTAGACCATATACTATAAGGAATCTTTTACCCTAGGGTACTTGACTGATCTGTAAGCCTACTAGCCAAATCACTTATATTCTTCTATTCCTAGGCTCTATCTTCGTGTTTTAGGGATGAGTACAAACTGCATTAGCTACGTGCATAGCCAAATCGTAATGATCTGCACTAATCCCTGACACAGATCACCGACATGCCGAAGGCCTGCAACCCCAAAACCGAATAACGTATGTGGCAAGCGAGCGCCGCAGGTAAGCGAGCGCCGCACCCCACCAAACCTGCGCACCTCTCCTATCTCAACGAACAATGGCTCAACGTAGCGCTACTCAATTAGCTTTAAATGAAGCAGATATTTAGCTTGCTATTTCTTCTATTAATCTCCATTAAACACAAAGTAATCATCGCGCTGCTGCTGTCTACAACGTGTCTGAACGAACAATCC